CATGGTTCAAAAATTATTTAATAGATTTACTGATGTATTAAATGATTTAATATAAATGACAATATAGCTGTTACCCAAAAGGCATCCCAATCCAGACCCCCAAGAGAGGGTTCTTGGACCTCGTGCAAGAAATAATTCAGGGCATGTCCACAGGGAAAAGTGAAAGCAAGTTTATTAACAAAGTAAAGGAATAAATGAATGTCTACTCTATAGGCAGAGCAGTGCTATGGGCTGCTCCACTGACTATACTTATAGTTATTTCTTGATTATATGCTAAACAAGGGGTGGATTATTCACGAATTTTCCAGGAGAGGGGCAGGGATTTTCTGAAACTGAGGCTTCCTCCCCTTTTTAGACTACATAGGGTAACTTCTGGGCATTGCAATGGCATTTGTAAACTGTCATAGTGCTGGTGAAAGTGTCTTTTAGCATGCTAGCATATTATAATTAATGTATGAGCAGTGAGGACAATCAGAGGTCACTTTCATCACCATCTTGGTTTTGGCCTGCTTCTTTACCGCATCCCGTTTTATCATCAGGGTCATTGCAACCTGTATCTTGTGCTGACCTGCTTTCTCATCCTGTGAGTAAAAATGCCTAAACTCCTGGGAGTGCAGCCCAGTAGGTCTCAGCCTTATTTTACCCAGTCCCTATTCAAGATGGAGTTGCTCTGGTTTAAACGCCTCTGACATAACCAACAAAAATTGAGTCAGTTCCTTGGAGTATGTAGTTGTGAAATTTAATCTATCCAAGAATGCGCTCCATGGCCTACTTAGTGGCCATGAAAATAGTTAAGAATGACGTAAAGGCATGTACATTATGCCTCTCCTTATATACATGCTCATATGTGCTTACAATGCATAAACTATTTCTGGAGGGATACACCAAAAAAAATTAAAAAGTAGCTGATTTTAGAAGGGTGAATGGAACACCTAGAGTGGCGGAGACTTTGCTGTATGCTGTATGAATTGTATTTGTTATCATGTGTAAATATCATTTTAAAAATAAAAACACTAGTTTTTACAAAGTACATGCAAGGGACCAAACTGGCTAAATGGATTACCCCATTTGGCCACTGAGGTAAACTCTAAAATTATATCTTACTCTCCCAGGATAGAGTACCAATTGCCTCAAGAACAGAATAAGGTGGACAAAATGATTTTTCGTTACTACTTCTAGAACTGTTTATTTAATATATGAGTGACCATTTAGGAATAACTGGACGGAGCTAAAGACATGACTGGTGTGTTTTCCTGCCTTTTCCCCCTTCTTATCCAACTAAAGAGTTTCATCTTTCAAAGAAGAAAAAAAATGACATTAGTAAGTTAATAAAATTTTAAAGAAGAAGAAGGAATTTTCTGTTCTTTCAGGGCTGTCTCCACATGGACCCTAGTGAGAGACTGACATGTGAACAGCTGTTGCACCACCCATATTTTGAAAACATCAGAGAAATAGAGGATTTGGCAAAAGAACATGACAAACCAACAAGGAAGACCCTAAGAAAGAGCCGAAAGCACCACTGCTTTACAGAAACATCCAAGGTGATAGTTTCAAATGATCTCCCACCTGCCACCTGGTACACAGAGTTGGAACCTTGACTTCAGAATGGCAGTTGTGGCTTTCAGCTCCAGCATCATCATTCTAGCACTAGGACACAGGTCACAGGGTCTATCAGCCAGGGTCCCAGGGACATCTGTCTCTTGAAGCCCCCTCTCCCTGAATCCTAAAGGTGCCCTTGTCCTGCTGTTTCCTGCTGCCACACAGGGGCCAGGGTTTCCGGCCTGCATGAGCACAGGTCTCAACAAGGTACATAAGTATGAGTCCAGCTGAGCACACGTCTGGTACTTTGGAAAATGAAATCAGATTTTCCCCAGGCAGTTCTGTGTCATCATGTTCACCTTCACTATTAACTAACCCTCCAGGTTTGTCCAAAAAAGGAGCTGTTTTCCTCCCTGATCCTTTGTCACAGTTGGCTAGGGCAAATACAGTGATGAGTGCTTTTGGTGATATCAGCAGAATATTTAACCAGAGAACAGTATCCAAACTGCACAATGGGAGCCTGTGAAGAAGCCTGACTGGTATAAAATGGCCTTATGTTAAGCATCTTGTGATAAGCCCAAAGCTGCAATAATTTAGAATGAACTGTAGTTGGAACCACAACTGCTCCTGGGTAACCTCTGGATCTGCCTGGGTTCTCCTTAAGCTATAATTTATCTTGCCTTAGTCTTTCCCCTTGCAGCTTCCACTGCCTTGCATGCTGAATGGTACCAGGGTGGTGTGTGTGAGGCTGGGAGGGAAAAGGGGGAAGAGTCCATGAGGAACAAGTACAGCATGAACTCCAGGGCCCTAATGTAGATCACAGTTACAAAATTAAGAATGTTTTAATTTTATTCTCCATCATCTATGATCCAGGTAGCAAAACAGGCCAGAAATAGACTCCTCCACTCCCACCCCAGAATTATTTATCTCAGTATTACTTT